GACTCTGGATGATATGCACACGATTTGAGGTATATGTTTGTAGTTACGTCGGGTAGTCCTCCATGAAGTTTAATCAATTTTTTCTGAAAGATGACTTTCAGAGGCGAGATTTCTCTTCGGGATATTGCTCATAAGATAACATTCTTCCAAAGAGTGGAAGCGCAAAGTGCATGTTTCATTTTTCTGAAACATTTGTTGTTGAGAACATTAGATGCAAACATCACCAAATTACGCAATATCTGATTTTGAGCCTTTTTCTCGAATTGCTCCTATAAAAAGTGGAGGCAGGCCCGCACAGATTTTTACATATTTAAAAACTAGAATATTATAACCAGCTAGGTGGGTAGTTTCAGTTCCAGAATCGGTGTAGTTTTGGAGAAATTCAGATAAACGTTTTCCCTGTTTTACCCGACAACCAAAATGACCGAGACTGTACCGAGATGAATAATCTATTGGTGTGTTCACATTCACTCCCAGGGGAAATTGAATGAATCAAAGTGTAGACGAATGATGTCACTATATATGGTACAAGTGCCAATTTGTAATGTTGTATTTAGCTTGAGATAGAGAAATAAACATTTCACTCTTTTTTTGCAACGTTTTTGTATGAAAATGGGCCCCCAGGCCTCGAACAAGCAGCAAGAGTGCTGCGACCTTTAAAAAGGGCATTTTTGTGCATCCTTCCTGAGTGCCTAACTGCATGCAAAATTTGAAGGGGGGTTGAAAATTTCCATTTCCCAAGATGTTTGATTCTTACGGAGACTTGTTCTTAATATTGTAGTTAGTATGTTTTGGTTGCTGCATATGCACTAAGCCAACAGTGGTTTTCAAACCTCCTTAAAAAAAGGAGGGAAACAATCAAAAAGAGGAAAAGGGAAGGTAAGCGCAAAAACAAAAGAGAAGCATAAACATCAGTCTCAGAGTCAGGAACCATACAAAGCTATTTCAGCCTTTTTTAAGACCTCGCTATCTTCGCCTAGCTTAGATAATGGTATTGTGAGTGATTAACCTGAGTTTATGTGTTTGGATGGAACATGAAGTTTGCTCATATCATTTATTTTACTTGACCAGGATTACGTTCCAGGTGTTTTTGGCGTATCGCACAGAGCACTGCAATTTATGGCCTATGAGGAGCTGAAGAAAGGCTACTCAGTCAATATTTTGGAACACCAATCAACCAGAAGCTGGTGAATACTGTCTGCACGTGTCTGTATAGTTGATTGTATACGTGTTAAAGCTCACAAATTCAACCGAGTTAGCAAACAAGAAACTCTTGATCTTAATCCTTGACATACAAAACATGTGAAGTGCTTTTACTCTGATCATGTTAATAGCTTAGGGTGGATGATTGTAGTGTTGTCATTTACTGGAACGAAACTTTTCTCTCAACTCCCCTCTCCACCCAGAAGGATTAATAAGAATCAACCCTTTGCCCCCCCCCCCCCCAAGATTGACTGACATCTAACTTCTCCTTACAATATCACCTCTGAATCACACATGGAGGTCATGAGAATAGAGGAAATATTCAGCCACCGAAAAAGTTCTTGACTGTTTAAGAAATTTTCCTTGTTAGTATCTTTTGAAATGTACAGAGAACAGTATGGAGAATATGGATACTGATGTAAGGGTGTAAAGGGTCAACACGAACGCATGTAATGGCCAGTGGCGAATGTAAAGGGAGAACATGAGAGAGGGAAGGGTGGGGGAAGTTTTTGGCTTCTCATCTTGAGTAGTCATCCTCCATGACGAGCCTCAGCATTTTGAGGCTACAAATGACGCCCAAAAGACAACCTTTTTTAGCTTTGTTGTACATGTGGCTGGTAGGAAGGTACTAATAGGATGACGATTATTATTATATGTAACCGTGGGTTATCTTGGGAATCACTGTGAAGCGCTGAAAACATAGTGGTTATTTTTTTTGTATAAAGTGTTTTGCTCTCTAATGTATGTTTTGCTTTTCTTCACAGAGTTCAACTGAGTACCTTGTAATGGCTTCACTGTCGAAAATCTTCGCCGCAACAGCGACCTATCCTTATCAAGTGGTTAGAGCAAGACTTCAGGTTAGAATGGGAGATTCATTAGCAAATTATTAACTTTTTGAAATCGATTTTGTTTTACTTTTGTATGCTATTATCTTGAAATAGACTTGTAGTTTAAGGTTATTTTTAGTTTTCAGGCCGGTAATCTCATCAGTTGGTTTACTGGACCCTAGGTTAATGTAACCTGTGCTCGAGCCTCGAGCCTCAGCTAGGTCACTGTGCCGGTTCCTTGGGAAAAGATTCGTTAGCCCCACACATCCCCCCTGCCAGTGGTTCAAATGGGCACTAACAAAAGGCCAGGGAAACCCCACAATGTGGATAAATATCAATTCTCATGAAGGAGAGAAGCTTTCACTCTTTTCATTCCTCCTAAGAAACACGGATCCAAGATGGTCATGGGAACGCATGGCGTAAAGTTTTTGATTCTGTGCCTATAAAATTAGCTAAAACCAATTGAATATATCAGGAGCTGTCTCTAAGCAAGTCTGTTTTGTTGAATCGTTCAGTATTTACTGTTTCCTGCTGTCATTTATTGTTCATGAATTTTACTTTTCTAAAGAATCAGTACACGATGGTCTAATACAAAGGCGCGTTGGATGTGATTGGTAAGACTTTCAGGTAAGTTGGAACTTGATAAGAGAACTTAAAGTTTTCAATACGTCACAGACTAGCTTTCCATCTCTAGTTTCAAACCCTCTACATTAAATAGAGGTACATGTTTTGCCCGTTTGAAACAATTTGACAAAGAACTGGACCAAAATTGGCGGAGAACTGAAACCAGCTTGTTTGAGTACTGGATCCAATTTTCGGATTGACTTACGGCTTAGTGGTAAAGTCCACATTTTCATGAAAGAAGGTATTCTTCTTTTCCTGGCCTCTTCTCACGGCAGGTTCTTTTCAAAATCTTAGGCATGAAGGAGTAACAGGATTTTACAAAGGATTAATTCCCAGTGTCCTCAGGTAAGGAAGAATGTTAAAGATAAATTTGATGTACGAAAACGTTAATCACTTCCTTCTGCCGAACAGATGACAACGACAGGATAAATAATGCAATCCGGCAACTTGAAACGATGGGCAATATTACAGCATGTGGTTTTATTACCAGGCTTTATTCTGCAACAGTTCCGACGGATTCATTTACGGAAAAAAAAAAAGTTAACCGTGCGAAGTTAACCGCCTAGTGCGTTTACACATTTTATCGGTAAATTCATTTACCAGCGGAATGTGAATATGAATTTTTTAAGAGCAATTTTTGTACATCAATGAAAAAGGTATCCATTATTACTATAAGGTCCTAAGGGTAACAATGATTTCTCCCATTGTTCTTTTATAAAGAACCTTTCCCCTCCCCTTTGTCCCTTGTCCCATACGGGTATCAAATTTATGTACATCCCCTTAGCACTAACAAAGGCATGAACCACAAGAGATGCCTTTTGGCAATTTTTTTTTTTATTACTATTAACTTCATAATTCAAACATTACTTGTGAAAACTACTTGCAATTAATCAAGAAAAATGTTCAATATTAAGTTAAAAATTACCTTATTTTCCTTTTTCTGTTCCTTACGTTAAAATCTTTTTCAATAACTTTCTCCATTTGTTACTGAATTGTTGCGATGTAAAGTTAAACCCAGTTTTGATTTATGGCTCTGTTTTTACTTCACTGTAACATTTCCTTGTTTTTGTTGTTATTTTTACCTGGTTATTGACATTAACTTCAGTAAAGAACGGTGAAAGCTACTCTTTCGCGATCGCTATTAGATGAGTGGTATCGAGAACCTACTCCGACCCATGGACTACACTGCCCTTAACGCTTACTCGTGTTCGTGTTATGAAACTCAGCTAAAAATAGTCCATGTAAGTTAAATTTATTTACAAAGAGATACACAGTTTTTGTTAAATAATGAGATAACTTTTTTACACCACTCAAGAAGCTGAGCCACGATTGACCCAGCTCATATCACTTTGCTTTGAAGAGTCTACCGACGATTTTTCTATATTTTGATACGTTGTCAAGAAACTCGCCTTGCTTTGCCTCATTTGCTTTGTGTTCAGGTCTCTTATTGTAAATTAGAGACAAATGAACATCAAATGATTGGAAGACTAGTCTTAGTTAGAATATTGAAATATCAGGCAGTAGCCTTTGGGGGTTACTGTGAGAGTGGGTTTCTTTTCTGCTCTTACTATTTTTCATATAAAAGGAAAACTTCGCCGAGAGAAACTGTGATTTTGATTTCAAATCTAACATTCCTGTAAAATATTTTTGGTGATGTACTTAAACGGTGTAGAAAGTTGTTTACAACTTGTGTTTACCTATGCTGCTCTAAATACTTGTTTTTAACACATTGCAGTTCTGAATACCTTTCTTTTAGCGTGTTAATGTTGTAGGCAAACATTAACCGTAGTAAAACAGGTCAACTTTTAAAAGCTATAAAAGTATTTTAATAAATTTTGTCTTGAATGAATGAGGTGCCCGTGCTCTTAGTTAAATAAGCTTTATAGGGACACTTTGAAGCCATTGCGTCAAGATCTTTAACTTGGATTCAAAATAAGCGTGAGATGTAAGCGATCCATTAATTTCAAATGAATTCTGGTCGATTCGGACACATTTAACACACGGTTACGCAGGCTAAACCATTGAATTTTGCTTACTGTGTTTCTGGAAATTGGTTCAATGTTTCAAAATACTGAGTCACTATTAATACGTTAACTTTATGTAATTTCAAAGGACATCAGATTTTGACTGTCATCGCTTTTTTTTCTACGCCTATAACGTAAGATAGCGCCTGTTTGTATTCCACGGACATACGCTAAAATAATCATGGTTTATAATTACAGCAATTGAAGGATGAAAAAAAAAAACGAAAAAAAAATACATAAATAAAAGGCTCGAAAACCTTAAGCTTGAGAGTTTGTGTCTTGCAGATTTTACTGGAAGATTACTTAAAGATACTTGGGGCAACTCTCTTTGATGACAGAGGCTATCTGATGAGAATTATCACTCTAATGAGATAAGTACCTGTTTGCCACCAAAGTTAAAATCTGATGATAATGTTTACGATAGAGAAGAAAGGTTGAATACCTTACATGTCAAAACTTTATATACATGTATCTACGGAGCGATTTGTGTGTTCTCTTACTACGCGAAGTATATTTGCTTCACATTCAGTCTGCACTACAGTAGCGTAAGGGACAACTACGTGGCTTTATAAGTTTGTAGATAAAGTAGGATCCACAGTTTTTTACAAAAATATTTTTTGTGTATCGGCAACCAGTAGAGCGATCACTAAAGCAGACCTTCCTGAAAACTTCACCATCTTCCACTGTAGGATGAGCACCATCCAACCAACCTGGCCAGTCTGTACCACATCTGTATGCTGGCACACGTGTTGTGGGCATTTTTGTTCCTGCAGCTCCCACAAAACGATACCATCCCTCGGGGAGTAAGTCGTCACACAACGATGGTCCATTTAACGGTGTAACGTAACTGCTCTTTCTATTGGCATCACTCAGGTTTTGATAACTATAACATGGGTCGGCTAGTAAATGAAATAAACATTACAAAAAGGTTGTAGTAACAAAGATAACATTTTTTGTTGACATTTTTCAAGTCAATCAGTTCGACAACAACTAGATGGGACTAATGTTTTACAAGAACAACTATGCGTTAAGTAAAATTTAAAGAAGAATTTGGATTGGACAGTGATGATGCAAATAGGAACTAAAATGAAATGATAGCATTATATAGAGTTATGTGAACTCTTGCTTTAATCGCCCATCAAAGCCTGTAGTTGTTTGTACCTCAACTGGAAGCTACCAAACGCGTTTAAGACATTTTTGATCTTCAGTTCCCAAACAACGATACCAGCCCAGAGGTATTTGGTAGTAACACAATTAAGTCCCAGGAGTGTGCAATGACTCTCTGTCTATTAGCACCATCCAATTATTTATAATCATAACGCGAATGAATGAGTTGCCAGTAATCGGATCCTTGCGTTTGCACAAAGATTTCCTAAGCAATTACTTTAATTTCTTTTTTTTTTAGAGGGCACGGTAACGAATCCTGCAATCTGATTGGTTCTTTACCCGGTCAGTATTTTCCTATCTCTGCCCACGGGCCACGGTAACGCTTTCGTGAGTCGCCGAGTACAGCTCAAATTTCGTTGCCATTTTTCATAAATATACCTCGTTTTTCCCGCTGGGCAGTATTTTTAAGCAAATACATCGGTCACTACCTCAAGCCGACTTATGAATCCTCTCTTTTCTCTCTCTCTCAAATCACTGACAAAAAAATATTGGTTTCAGAATGAATTTGTATAGGCAATAGTGTCATTACGTTGGTTGACAAGCGGCCTAAAAACCGTCTGCAATTGATTTTAATCATTCACAAAAAGTACATAGAAAGTTAAAACGTGAGGTATTTGGTTACAGGTAAACTGAACAATGGAACTTTCATTCATTTAATGTCTGAATTTTCTCAAACAATTTGTTCGTAGTGAAAGAACGAGCGAAGTTTTAATTTCAGTTCGACAATAAATATACGCTCTCGGTGAGTCTTTCAAAGTCCGTTCAATTTGGACATTTGGACCATAAATTGCACAACAGAAACTGAAGGAATTTATTGAGAAAAGGCCGCGTTAAATCCCCTTGTGTCTCGTTGGAGTGTGCCGTTCGAATTTCGTTTTTGTGGAGGAAAGACCAGATTTACATACGCCGTTGCAGCAAACAAACGAGCAAACTCTCACAACTTCAAAATAAAAAATTTGAATTTACTCACAATTACTTTCCTGGCCGTTTACTTAATGAACAGAGGTAAATCTTCGTACATGAATGAATCGTCGATGAGAGTGAATAATACTTTCCGTTATATCATTGATTGTTTTTGAAGAAAACATTGTCGCGACAGTCCTTGCCAAACTAGTTCCGTTGTTTTTCAAATCTTCTTGCGCTTTTTTTTTCTTACGCGCTCTCTAATTGACAGGTGTCAGATTGTGACAGATACTTGTAAAAATAATGTTTCAAACTTTGTTTGGAAGCCTTTTAAATCACCTTTATTTACGCAAGTGAAAATGTTTCATTGAAGCATCTCTCCTTAATTTGTATCACCTTTACTTTAACTACCATTTACTCGCTCAGAAATTGTTCAGTTTATGGAAGATCTTGCCGTATTTATAGCCCTAAATCATTCGGGTTCTTTCAGAATGTGTTTCGTTAAGTTTAAAAAAAAAAATGTTATTTACCGGCTAAGGGTCGGTCCGTATGGTGAAAAACTGTGACCTCGGCCAGCATTTTCAAGACCTCGGTCACAGTTTTTCACCATACGGACCGACCCTTAGCCGGCAAATAACATATATGTATCGCGATATTATTCAATGCCCAAGCACACCATTTCGATCTCCTGCTGCTTCAAGGTAGCGTTGTAGCGCTCTTTTGTATTACCAAGCCAAGAAAAAAGCTAGAAGCTATAAGTAGACTTAACACACGTAAACAAAACTGAAAAGGCTAATATGTCTAAATTTCGAGACCAGAACACGATGTCAATTTCACAATAAACCGTGCGCATGGTGAAAAGTCAATCGGCTCATTCTAATTCATATTTCATGGTTGTTCAAACAAAACTTACGCTTCCCTTGAATCAACATTACCCACTCCAATTATGATAAAGCAGCGGCAAAAAAAAGCGGTGATCTCTCTTCGTAAACGTTTCTTTGGACCTCGAAACAGCCTTTCGCCATACATTTATTTCTAGAGAGTTGTAATGTTTGCCCCGTGGCGTTCCCAGAAATCTTTGCGAAAACACAAGGATCCGATTGCTGGCAACTCATTCATCGGTTTGCATAAGTCAAATAAGGATCATAGCTGCTATTATTATTATTATTATTAGGGAATCTTTAAAGGTTTGGGATTCCTGAAGGTTTTTTAGTTCCACGGAGAGTTTCATGTCTGCATCATGTAAAAGTTCGTGTAAGGTTGTTAAATCATTTAAAACATAATCAAAAAATGATTCGTTTTTGTACACAAGGTAGCATAAAATTATGCTTCCTCGATGTGAATTTCGGAGGAAAGTCAACTCGTAGGAATTTACTGCTACTTTCAACGCGGGAAACAAAATAAAAATTTCATCGCCTTCATGAAAAACCGCTGCTTATATTACGAGTTATGAGTGAACGCGGCTGAATGGTGCGGCGCTGGAGTCAATTATGTCATGAATATTTCGGAAAGAGATTAAATTCGCCTGTGCAGTTTTGTTCATTTCCAGCATATCCAGGGTGACATTCATATACATGTGATCCAAGGGTATTCATGCATGTAGCATTCACGTGATAGGAATGATTTCCTCTACACTCGTTAATAGAGTGGTTTAGCAAGAGGACGGGAACGTCATTTCAGAACGGCGCGCGCAGCAAAAATGCCGAGAAAAAACTGGGTCGAGAACACCGTCGCGTTGTGTTGAAAAGTGACTTAGCAGTCGTTTCAACGAACCGTCCACGTTATATTTGTTCTTGAATATCCTAACCTTGGCTCTTTCGGATCATTATCAGCCTTGAATTTTCGGTTTCATAGACCACTTGAAGGACAACGAAATTATCCTCTTTGAGAGTGTAACGACAAGCACAAACCGAGGATAGTTTACTACAAGTGAGTTGTTAATATGAATCCACATGGGCGATTAAACTTTGAAATTAATTCATTTCAGTTAAGTCTCGAGTCTGCAGATTCATCTATCAAATTTTGAAGCCCACTAAATATTTTTTTTTCTATGATTTGTATCGCTGTCATTTCGTTTCGTGCTTCTAGATTTCAGCACTACTGGTTTTTCTTCATAATTTTGTAAAGTATAATTTGGAATTGAAATCGTCGCCGTTTTTTCCCTTGTTTACTGAATATTCTTCTCAATCATGACAGTACACCTCTTTTAAGCAGGAGTCATGGCGAAACATGTAGAGATCAAGCGACCCAACGATGGAGTTGTTTACAATGAGTTCCCGTTTAACCATGAACGAATGAAATGCACTCAAACTCAGCGAAATGACGTCCTGAACTTGAAGGGGAGAACGGCAACGCTAACACCAGAAGTCGAAATAGAGTCGTGTCCGGATTATCCGCGCTCTTTCCTGTTCTGAAATGACGTTCCCGTTCTCTTGCTAAACCACTCTAATATCTGAGAAACCGTAAATACATTTTGCACTTTATTTTTGTCGTCTAACGATTTGTAAATACTTTAATCATTTCAGATAATAAGAGAAAGCTTTCTCTTTCTTTGTCTTTAACGAGCTTGAAATTTGAAACGTGCAACTTAGATGTTATATTTTCCTCTCCAATGTTCTTTTTTATATCTCCTAACATCAAGGCTCTGAGACAAACCGGAAGTAGATCATGGCAACTCCGTGCATAAGCATGTATGGGTAATGCTGCTTAAAAAAACAAAACTTAGCACTGGTAGGACGATAGTTCCTGCTAAAATTGCTTTATTTAATGCTATGGATCCACAGATATAGCATGCAAGTTATTATTGGTCTGTTATTCACTCACTCGATTGTAGATAGCAATTGCTTAAACGTACCTACAGTGTTTTTAGGCGAAAAAGAATTAAACATTGTAACTCGCATGTCTTTAAATACTTTAAGGCTTTGAGACTAAAACAGTGATATTGGAGATCCAGATAAACTCATCAGGATCCGAATTTGAGCTCCTTCTTTTTCAGACAATGCATTAAAGGACAGCTGTAGGCAGACTTAGGGCACAACCGGTATCGTTTACATATGAGAAACTAATAATATGGCCACCTCAGCAGCTTCAGGTTATATTCGAGCAGGAATATTCTAAATATTATAGCAAAGAGATTAAATTCACCTGTGCAGCTTTGACCATTTCCATTAAATCCAGGGTAGCATTCACAAAGATAGGATCCGTTGGTGTTCGTGCAGGTAGCATTCACGTGACAAGAGTGATTTCCTTTACATTCGTCAATATCTGAGGAAACCACATATATATTTGCACTTCATCATGTTTGTCACTTTAAAAATGAGCGGACTCTCAGTCGAGTGATTACTTTGATAATCATACATAATAAAACAATTTTTTCTCTTTTTGTGTTCCACGAATTAGATATTTGAAACGTATATTTTATCACGAGTATTTCTGTTTATCAAGCTATCGGCTCTGAAACAACTGGCTTGTTCCTGCTGCTCCCACAAAACGTACCATCCCTTGGGGGATAGGTCGTCACAAAACACTGGACCAAATTGCGGTGTAGCGTAACTACTCTTAATATTGGCATCACCCAGGTTTGATAATTATAGCAGGTAATTTAGTGTTAACAACCGAGTTGAAAACGTAAATTTGCCACCGTAAAGGGTAAAAAAGCTGACGTTTCGAGCGTTAGCCCTTCCTCAATCACTGATAGCATTACAAAGAGTCATGTTTCCTTTTGCTTTAATCGCCCATTTAAGTCTGAGTTGTATGTACCTCTACTATATGCTACCAAATGCGTTTAAGACATTTTTGATTCTCAGCTCCCGCACAACGATGCCAGCCCCGAGGTATTCGGTAGTAACACAATTATTTCCCAGGAGTGTGTAATTTCTCTCTGCCTCCTTAAGGTTTCCTTTCGTTCTATGAAAAGGGTCAGATAAGGTCAGAGAAAAATATACAATCCCTTCAGGACTCAACCTGCCATTTCTTTTAGATTTTTTTCCTTCCCCAACATTTTTCTTACCTTATCAACTGAGTTGATAATGCAAATTGGCCTCTGTAAAGAGTTTCAAATTTACCTCACTCTTTACGGTGGCCAATTTACCTCATCAACTCAATTGATAATACTAAATTACCCTGTTGCACTCTCCCACCGACGCAGCACCGCAGTTCTTGTAGAACCTTTATTTATCGCTCTTTCTCTCAGTTTACTGGCGATATAATCCACGCTGGATTTTGTGAGAACGAGCTGGAGGCGACTGATCTACTTTTTTTTCGAATGGTTTCCCAACATCTGAAGACGTTTACTACGCTGGTAAACCGATAGAAAGTGCGGTCTGTTACTTTAATAACATATATAAACTTCAATTTTCCACAGGTTTACCGGTGCAATCAACGATTGTTTTTTGACCAATCAGGGCGCTCGTAGTATCTTGACTATTTTATAAAACTTGATGATAATAATTTTCAACTTTTTCACTCAAATATATCTTGAGTGTCAACGAAAACGTAGCGCCATGGAAAATCATTTACATATCCATCCTGTGCACAGGGTTCAGAGCCAGACGAGCGATTTTATTTTCATGCTCCTGTCAGTCATTGTGATAAGGTTAATTTTAAAGCAGAACAACGCATCAGTCACCAAAATTGTTCATTTAAAAGTCAGGGACATTACCTAAGAGGTTCTTAACATGAGAAATGGCTGCCTAAATCAAAACCAGTAATGAGTAATAAATTACCTAATTGTCTTGCAACGCGGCTAAATGGTGCGGCGCTGTAGCCGGAAAGCATACAGGACTATTAAAAATATTGTAGCGAAGAAATTAAATTCACCTGAGCAGTTTTGTCCATTTCCAGTATATCCAGCATGACATTGACATACATGTGATCCAAGGGTGTTCATGCATGTAGCATTCACGTGACAAGAGTGATTTCCTTTGCACTCGTTGATATCTGTAAAATCGTAAACATAACTAAAGAAACGAACTGTAATTAAAAAAAAAAAGTTGCCGAGCATAACGTAAGAAACCCTAGTCTTGTTGTCTTGTGGTTCCAGACGCAAATGCTTCACACAACCACTCACCAGATTTTTTTCTCGGTTCCCCCAAGTTCAAATCTGTTGTTCTGTCCTGTAAGCCTATCTATCAAGTCTCCTTTCACCAGTGGAGATTTTTTACCTTACACTGAATGTTTACTTAACCACCTAACTCCCTTTAATGACCAAGAAAGAAATTCTCCTTACCAAATCATTACAATATCAAACAGACAAGTGACGAGAATAAGGAAAAATATCAGCTTGGGGATTATCAGTTGATTCAATACCAAATTCTTAGAACTGACATCATAAGAATTGTATGGTAGACAGTAAGCAGAATTACTGATGAGATGTTAGGAGTGAAATGGTCAATACAAGGTATGCTGGTAAAACAAGTCTCGCAAATATGATAGTGCTTTTCTTTCTGATGGAAATGGTTTCAAAAGAAATGCAGTATATCCGGGGTGACACGTACAAACATACGATCCTTTGGTGTTCATGCATGTGGCATTCACGTGACAAGAGTGATTTCCTTTACACTCGTTAATATCTGTAAAATGATAACATAAAAAAAGAATACATTTTAAAATATGCAATTGGGAAGAAGTTACCGAGCATAAGGTTAGAAACCTTAGTCTTGTTTTCTTGGGTCCTAGACGCAAGCACTTCACTTTAGCGCTCACTAGATTTTTTTCTTGGTTTCCCGCGAGTTTAAATCTGTTGTTCTGTCCTGTAAGCACATCCATCAAGTCCCCCTTTGCCAGTTGAGATTTTTTTACCACTGAATGTTTATTTAATACAATTGTGTCATTATCAACATTGTCTTCAGGCCTACATTCATCTCTTTTTTACACAAGGTATGCTGGCAAAACAAGTCTTGCAACGATGATAGTGCTTTTCTTTCTGATGGGAATGGTTACAGAAGAAACGCATCAAATACCTGTGCAGTTGTGTCCATTTCCAGTATATCCGGGGTGACAAGTACAGACGTACAATCCTTTGGCGTTCGTGCAGATAGCATTCACGTGACAAGAGTGATTTCCTTTACACTCGTCAATATCTGAGAAACCATTTGTATATTTGCACTTTATCACGTTATTCATTTTAAAATGGGTCTCAGTCGTGTAATTACTTTAATAATTGTAAACAACAAAACTCGTGTCCTTTTTTTTTGTTTGCTTTACAAATTAGATATTTGAAGCGTATATTTCATGGCGAATATTACAATTTATCAACCAGACCGCTCTGAAACAGTTCCTGCTCCGTCATCCCCCCCCCCAAAAAAAAAAAAAAAAAAAAAAAATTCCGCGGGGAGTAAGTTGTCACAAAACAGCTTACCAAATTTTGATGTAGCTTAACTGCTCTTTCTGATTAGCGTCACCCAGGTTTTGATGAATTTGGGTTAGAGAATGATGATGCACAAAGGAACTAAAATGAAATGATAGCTTTATGTAGAATTACATTTCCTCTTGCTTTAATCGCCCATCAAAGCCTGAGTTGTTTTCACCGGCTCAACTGGATGCTACCAAATGCGTTTAAGACATTTTTGATCCTCAGCTCCCACACAACGATACCAGCCCAGAAGTATTCGCTAGTACCCAATTATTTCCCAGGAGTGTGTAATAACTCTCTGCCTACTAGCATCATCCAATTATTTGTAATCATAAGGCCAATTGGCTTGCGTAAGTCAAATAAGTTTGATTGATCATAACTGCTCTTTTTATAAAGGAATCTTGGAAGGTTAGAGATTCTTTTAGGGTTTTTAAGATCCACGGAGAGTGTCATGTCTGTATCACATTAAAGTTTGTGTAAGGTTTTTAAATCATTTAAAACATAATCAAAAGTTGGTAATTTAGTGTCCACAACTGGGTTGAAAACGTAAATTGGCCACCGTAAAGAGTAAAAAGGCTGATTAGCACTTGTTACTCTTTACGGTGGCCAATTTATATTTTGAACTCAGTTGTTAACTAAATTACCTGCTATACTCTCCCACCGACGCGGCACCAAAGTTTCTTTAGAAACTTCCCCCCTATAACAATTAATTTTGACCAATCAGTGCGCTCATATTATCTTGACTATTTTATAAAACTTGATGATAATAATTTTCAACTTTTTTCTTTCAAATATATCAGTGAAAACGTAGCGCCATGGAAAGTCACGTACATATCTATCATGTGCACAGGGTTCAGAGCCAAACGAGCGATTTTATTTTCATGACTTTGTCAATAACTTGTTTAGAGTCCATTAAAAGCAGAGTAACAGTGCATCAGTTACCAAAATTGTTAATTTAAAAGTCAGTGACATTACCTAAGTGGTTCTTAACACGAGAAACGACTGCTTAAATCAAAACCAGTAATGAGTAATAAATTATCTAATTGTCTTGGAACGCAGCTGAATGGTGCAGCGCCGTAGCCGGAATCCATACAGGACAATTAAAAATATTGTAGAGAAGAAATTAAATTCACCTGTGCAGTTTTGTCCATTTCCAGTATATCCAACATGACATTGACATACATGTGATCCAAGGGTGTTCACGCATGTAGCATTCACGTGACAAGAGTGATTTCCTTTGCACTCGTTAATATCTGTAAAATCATAAAAATAACCAAAAAAACAAAAAACAAACTGTAATTGAAAAAAAGTTGCCGAACATAACGTAAGAAACCCTAGTCTTGTTGTCTTGTGTTTCCAGACGCAAGTGCTTCACACAACCACTCACCAGATTTTTTTCTCGGTTCCCCCAAGTTTAAATCTGTTGTTCTGTCCTGTAAGCCTGTCTATCAAGTCTCCCTTTACCAGTGGAGATTTTTTAACTTACACTGAATGTTTACTTAACCATCTAACTTCCTTTAATGACCAAGAAAGAATTTCTCCTTACTAAATCATTACAATATCAAACAGACAAATGACGAGAATAAGAAAAAATTTCAGCTTGAGGATTATCAGTTGATTCAATACCAAATTCTTAGAACTAACATCGTATGAATTGTATGGTAGACTGTAAACAGAATTACTAATGAGATCTTAGGAGTGAAAGGGTCAATACAAGGTATGCTTGTAAAACAAGCCTCGCAAATATGATAGTGCTTTTCTTTCTGATGGAAATGGTTTCAAAAGAAATGCGTCAAGGTCAATTCCTTTGATCCTCAAAAATATTTGAAACAAATTTAAAAAAATGCAATCGGGAAGAAGTTGCCGAGTATAAACTTAGAAACCTTAATCTTGTTTTCTTGGGTCCTAGACGCAAGCACCTCACTTAAGCGCTCACTAAATTTTTTTCTTGATTCCGCGCGAGTTTAATCCATTGTTCTGTCCTGTGAGCCCATCCATCAAGCCTTCCTTTGCCAGCTGAGATTTTTTTCCCCTGAATGTTTATTTAAAACAATTGTGTCATCATCAATATTGTCTTCAGGTCTACATTCATCTCTTCTTAATACAAGGTATAATGGCAAAACAAGTTTTACAACGATGATAGTGCTTTTCTTTCTGATGAAAATGGTTACAAAAGAAACGCATCAAATACCTGCGCAGCCGCGTTCATTTTCAGTATATCCGGGGTGACAATTACAAACGTACGATCCTTTTGTGTTCGTGCAGATAGCATTCATGTGACAAGAGTGATTTCCTTTACACTCGTCAATATCTGAAAAATCATCGATACATTTTTGCATCTTATCGTTTTTATGACTCTTAGTCGGTTAATTCCTTTAATCATCACAAATTATAAAACAAATGTTTCTCTTTTAGTGCTACATAAATTTCAGCACAAATAGTTTAATTTATCAACCTGACTATTCTGAAACAAGCAAGATGTAGAGCATGGTAACTCTGTGCATAAATGCGTGCATGGGTAACGCTGCTCTAAATTATGAGACGATTTACAAAAATTAGTTTTATTTAGAAATATTAATAAGGTAATCTTCAAAATTACCTGAACATGAGTGTCCATCGCCAGTGTATCCCACTTTACATGTGCATTTGTAAGAACCATACGTGTTAGTACAGTTTGCATTCACGTCGCAGTCACTGATGTTAAATTTACATTCGTCCATATCTAGAATGTGGAAAGAGAAGCAGTGACTAAGTTAGAGCAACTTGAGAGAGACATCCTCCATAGAACTGACCCAAACCAAATATTACGATGATGATATCAATAATAGTATAATTTATAATAATTTCATGATACCTATAACTCGTTACAAAATAAAATAACTCATTCAAACTCATAGGACCTACCTTCGTTAACCATATTACAGAAAATCAGTTTTGCCTTTCCTTTCCCAGTTGGATCGAGCCAATACTTGCCGCTTATGGTGTGTTTACCTTCACTATCCTTTATTTCCCGACAAGACAGCGCTGGTAATTCAGGGATAGAACCTAATGGAGCTGAAGTAAAGATATGTTTTACGTTCACTTCCTTTTCTTAGTTCTTCCGGGTGAGAAGGAATCAGGCTGAGGATGGAGAAGATTTAAAGAAATAGGAATCACTTAGAATCACTTTCTTACCTCTGCCGTTCAATCGCCGGATGTAAAACCACGCGGGAGCTGAAAGGAAATTCTCTGGTCTCGCCTCCTTGGTGCGGTTATTTAGTTCACATATTTGGTATTTTTGATTGTAGTTATAGCTTTGGCATGTGATCTCTTGTCCGCATTTGACATCGCAGAGGTGAGGAGCCGCTACTGACCATCTTTTGAAGACCGAACACCTGAGAGCCATCCCTTCTATGTATACATTGTTCCTACATTGATCGTCAGCTGTGACAAACTCCATGGCAGAGGCGAAGAGGAGGAATCTTAAATTTTGGAATATCCACAACATACCTTTTACTTGCATTTAATCTGCAAATATTGAGGGTAAGACACCATAAGTACATGTTTAATTCCCGCCTAGATACAGCTAACTTTGAAAAACTGTATACTTACCTAATGAGTAAAAATAAAATTTATAGTAAATGTCATGCACTGACTAATGGCCCGCCTGAAAATTCGCGAGAAAACTTCATAGCAGCTCGACAGGATGCTAGTTGGAATGTAAGGAAAAATGTTAAGTACAACTTAAAAGTTGTATCAGAATATCTGAGGTTTTTTAGCTTCTCTCAGCTTTTGTGGAATGATACCTTTGATCTGCTTAACTAGTGTAGTTAACTTGCGAAGATAGCCTTACCAAATTGGCTTAGTAAATCTTCAAGTAGCTGCGGTTTTATATATATATTCTGTCAAACAAGTATCTGTTAGTGTGTGTTTCTTCTCCTTTATGTAACAAAACAGTTCAGTAACCAAAAAGTCGTGTAAAAAAAATTAGGTATATATATATATACGTAACACTAGAGCTGATAAATATAAGAAATGCGGTCCTCAATCAGCTAATTGCCACCGTGTTAAAATTGCTCTCTTTCATCAAAGTATTATAACTATGATTAAGATACCAAACGTTTGTTTTAAGCCAATGTATAATAATTAACCTTAAAAGAGAACCTCATCGTTTCTGTTTGGCTCCTCACAAGGAATGAATTCAACAGAATTCGGGCCGGAATTTAAGTAATATAATTGTTCTGTTTGTGATGTTTGCCAACCAATGGCGAAGATACTTGGTTATTAATTATAAAGTGAAATTCAATCGGTATAAATTACTAGCTGTGAGGCACCAATTAGGATTTGATAAATTTTGAATACAGACTTACGAAGGTACTTTAAAATCAGCTCTTAGGAGTGTTTTGATAACATACCCTCATGTTTATCCATTATCCATAACAAAAGACACTCATCTGTTAGCTCAGGAAAAATATAATTAAACTCGAGGAACGTCAAATTGTCCGTGCCATTTGTCCACAGTTGTATAATTTTAGTCTGGAAACTTCGAGCAAATATTGATGATTTGTGATGCAATTCATTTGTTAAAAGTAAACAAGATTCCATTAGTCGAGAAAGACATTAAAACTTGAGGGTTCAAATGAAGCTACAATTGGAATTTAAGCTCAGGATCAGGGCAAGTAAATCTTGCAACATTTTACGGAAAATTCGAACAAACTGACGAATTTGCAGAAAAATTTTTAACCATTTACCTCTAAGCATAACACAAACAATTCGCCGATTGTGAAGTTCATTTACGTTAATGACGCTGCAAATTTGACAGGTGCATCTTTGTCATCTAACGTGTTCAAGTTCTTTTTATCCTTACGTTACTTAAATTTATGCTGTAGGTTGCTCCCAAATTACGCCATTTAAGAATTTCTCGCGTTTCTTCCAACCCCTTCGTCACCACAAGTGCATGTATAGTTTGTTTTTAAACGAGAGACATAACAGGTCCTAAAAGCTATTAATGACCATCATTTGAATACAAAACTTTTAAACTAACAGAGACTCGCCCTCATTTTTCCTGGGTTGCTTGCTTTTGTTTGTTTGTTTGTTTGTTTTTTTACGCGGGGCTGCTCAATCTTTTAAAAATCTTTTTAACATCTTTTAAGTGTGACATACGATGGAACAATTAAAGAGAGCTTTCGAGCAAAATCATATTTGAAATGACTTAATGGAGTTAGAATTGTGAGATCCTAATATTTTCTAGTCCCAAAAAACCTTTTATTTGAATTTGCATTTGAGACTATGTACAGGTGGTCTAAATTCTGAAATTTAAAACCTTTTAGACAAACTTTAGCGCTTTTCCACGAACGAGCTTTTCTTGGCAATATTTATATTCTTGTTTTGTTCGTACTGCCAAGAACTACAGATATTCGATAAAAGCGTCCGGGACATGTTTTTTGTCTCAGTTATGAGACTCGAAGTGTTATGCGTACTCATTTAGCGTCACTCTTGACTGCATGTCTACTAAATGTTATTACTGTCTGAGTCGCTACACCTTTGTTCACCCGTTTCTTTGATATCGCCAACTTTTACTTGAAGTTATTTGGGAATCATTAGGGTTTTTCTTAGACAGAGTTGCAGCGGAGATGTTTATTGGCCTCACGATTTCAATATGAAAATGAAACGAGTGATGCAAACTCCAAATATTTGTTGAAATGTCTATCAATTGCTGTTTTGAGTTGCGAAATTTTTGGGGATACAAAACATACTGTGACCGTTCGATTTATGGGGGAGAATATTCATGTTATGGCAAGTTTATAGGAAAAAAAGGTTAAACAAGACTCCGTTTTTTTCCTTTCCTTAATATCATTTCGCTTGCAATTTTCCGTCAGCTGTATAAAACAATGACGCAGAACTTTTGCGCTGAAGATTCAGTTTGAACCAAACGATTTGATTCCTCTTCCATATCAATTTAAGAGACAGGATATGAGGTTGAACTTACATTGTAAATCCATCGATTGAAATGAGGCTTTTTAATTGAAAAACTTCAGTTGAAGTAGGGCAAAGCTTTGGTATCGATTTTATTTTTAACGTTTATACTCAGCAGAACTCTTTAAATGAATTCTGTCCCGTTTACTCCAATATCAAAGTTGTTCTTTAATGGTAAAAAATTGTCTTGTCAATAATCTGTTTGGAAGTAATTTGTTTCTAATTTTTTAGTTTCTTTTTCGCTATCAATTCCATACAAAAACGTAAAAATATAAGGAATCTTATTTATAAACGCAAAATATTTTTTCTTTCTCTTAAGGCTGTAGTCGCATTCCTTTACCAGTTTAGAGATGCTTTGCGAAAGTGGACTGAAAAACATTTGAAATGATTATTTTGTCAATATTTGTCATTTTCCAGCCACGTGTATGTGCCAAGCAGTGAGAAACAATTTAGGGTGTGTTGGTAAAAGATGAGTGCTCGCTCCTTTTAAGTCCTCAATAAAAATATTTTGCACCTGGATATGTTTAGGCTCAAACGCCTGAAATTTTTTTCTTTAATGTATCAATACACAGAGAAAGCACGTTCGATTTAACCGTTATATTAGCATAGAGTAGAAGATTTTTTCTCATATTAATGATAACAAAGAACTTCACTCATGCTGAAAATGAACGACGAATAATAATCACACAATTATTCCTTAGAGCCCCCGCATACACCAACGTCAGGGAGACTTAATTATCAGCTCTCAGAAACTTTTTAAGCCTAAAAGATATCTATTTCACCTCCTGCTCAAAAACGAGTGCCCTCAAATATTTCAGAATTATGTGTTGACTTAAGAAAAGCCCTCCAGAGATTAGATCTGCATTTTGCGTCAAATCGTCGCCAAGTAGATTCGTTTCTTAATGCACAACATTTGTGCATTGAAACTTGAGTCCGAGTTAAGTCCTTAAATATTGTTTTAACTATGGTTCCGTGACCAAAAATTGATGCATTAAGGACATTTATTTTTTATGAGGTTTCTATTGTAGGAAAGACGCCCCGTGGACGCAAATTACAACCGCCGGACCGGTGCCGCTTGAAGATAATTAAGTCCTGAATATTCCACTTTTCAAAGCAGAAAAGAAGTACGACCGGTCAAGCAATTTGAACTATATTCTCTTAATATTTATTCCCAAAAAATATTTTTTGACTGAACTCAGTTATCAATATTGGAGAGAAAAGTTGTCTCGAACATTTGGCTAAATTTTTTGTGCTCTTTTTCAGTTGATCTCCTTCAAGGCACCGCAAAACCTCATTTATCCAAAAAATGTCCCTATGGAAATATCGTGGTTTTTTATGTTCTATTTGATAAATGTTGGCCATATTTTGAAACTGTGAGATTTTGAGAGCGATATTTCACCGCCGCAAATGACTGAAAACAAAAAAAAAAAAAATTACTGTGAAACAGCACTTCTAACAAGGGACAAAATAAAATGGTGCACCAAATAGGCCTTATAAATCTAAGCTGATCTCAAAGAAACTATTCAGTTTTGGTTCCTTTTCTAAATTCTGTGGCTCTGCAAGTTTACCAATAACTTGTGCGATCCTAATAACTTCTAGTCCCAAATAATCTTTTATTTAAATTTGAATTTTAGAGCATGTACAGGTGGTTTGAATTCTGAAATTTCAAACCTCTCGGGCAAACTTTGGCGCTTTTCCACGGACGAGCTTTTCGAGGCAGTCTTTATAATCTTGTTTTGTTTCTATTGTTAAGAACTACAGATATTCGAAAAAAATTTAATGAAAGAATTGTGAATATGTTTCGACAAAAGCATCAGGGACAGGGTGTTTGTCTCCGTTAAGAGACTCGAAGTTTGAAGCGTGCTCATTTAGCGTCACTCTCAGGATCCTGTTCACGGTGCGAGATGTTATCAGACGTTCATTCATTCGATGCCCTTTCCACATTCATTCTAGTGCGCTGATCAATTTTGAACAAATAGATAATTGTATGTTTGGCGAGTAACCGATTGTTTTGCGTTATTTTTGAGATCATTTTAGGAAAAGTTTTAAGTTATATCACGTTGACTTACTTTCCAACGATTAAGGTCCATCTATTTGCTAATTAGAATGATGAATTAACTTTTTGGTGGTTTGTGCCAGGTTACCTAACAAACCCAATATGGGTGGTCAAAACTCGCTTATGTCTCTAGTATTCTGATTCCCTTGCTGAAAAAACACAAACACCTCAGTACAAATGAATTTTTGGTAAGATATTTGTTTGCAAAGATGAATGACACCTTTTTACCTAAGAGAGAGAAAAGAAAAGTGAACCATTTACACACTTCCATCAGTATGTATTTCCCCCGTACTGTTCTTAATACATTTCAGACATGCAACTTACAAGGAGAATGTAGTTAAAAATCAAGAGCTCTTTCAAGTTTGTGATCATTTCTTTAGTTTTTTTATAAGCCAAACGTTGATTCAGCAGTGAATAATAAATTGTTTGATACTTTTCTCAATCACAATTTCACTGTGAACTGGAATCAAGGTGGTGGCGCATGTAATTGTGCTCACCAATTCCTCACTTACATGAAATCCAGATGCATGACTTATTTTGTACTCCTTGATCCTTACAGATGCTCCGTTAAAGTTCTGGAGACATGAGGGGTTGGGAGGTTTATACAAGGTAACCTTGATATGTATCTGTTGACAGCTTTTTGATTGATTGATCAAGTTAAAAATTGAGATTATTTTGACTGTGTGTGCTGGTCTTGTGGTGAAGTATGCAGGGTATTGGTCTCTAATAAAGTCAACCAAATCCAAGAAGTCACAAGTGGTGTGTACCGCTCCATGTGTACCTTAATACCTTGAGCTTAAGTACAAAAAAAATAATGGAATAAAATGTAGTATAATAGAGGAATTATTAAATATATATATAGTCTTTAGTTCTTAAATGTACATGGGAGATTCAATAGTGGAAGTGTAAAAGT